CGCTCACCTCTGTGGGGGCCGGGGGAGGGCAGCGCGCATGCGCAGCGCTGCCGGGCACCGCCCCTCAGGCGCGCCCCCGCGGCGTGTCCCGCCGGGAGCGTGCTTGGGGCAGCGGGAAAGGAAACCCGAAACTGCGGGGTTTGTGCTTAAAACCCATCAGGCACAGAGGTGTTGCGGTTCTCCTTCATTGAGCCGTGAAAGAAATGGCGCTGACGCGCACAGTGCTGCCATAGAATCATAGAATGGTTTGGGTTGGAACGGATATTAAGGACCCCTCAGTTCCCACCTCCCTGGGCAGGGACACCTTCCACTAGACCAGGTTACTCCAAGCCCATCCAAGCTGGCGTTGAACATTTCCAGGGATGGGCCATCCACAACTCTTCCGGGTAGCCTGTTCCAGTGTCTTACCACCCTCGTGGTAAAGAATTTCTTCTGAATATCTATTCTAACCCTACCCTCTTTCAGTTCGAGGCCATTCCCCTTTGCGTGGTCACGACAGGCTCTTGTAAACAATCCCTTTCCAGCTTTCAGGTTGGAATAGGGGAAGGAACAGTCGTGGATGTGGTTCATGAAGCGATTCTGCATCAACTGGGCCGAGCAGGGAAAGAAGATCAGGGCTCTCATAGAAAGTCCTCTCAGTTCAGCGGTTAACAGCAAGGCTTCCTCACAGGTAACACAGCTTGTATTGAGGCACTAAACACTCATCGTTAGGTACCACTGCCACCATAGGTAGATTGAGCTTGCTCCTTGTCAGAGTTCCAGGCACTGTTCTGGAAGAACTCGTCCTTCTTCAGGGCTCTGGAGCGTCCCTGGGGGCAGCGGCTCCCAGCCCTGGCACAGCCAGCACCAGGGCACTGCTGCCTGCTGTGAGCTCAGTGAAATTACTCGGCAGACATCAGCAAAAACTGAGCACCGCTTGCTTATGCCATTAAAAAAAAAAAAAAAAAAAAAAAAAACAGAAACATATTTTGCCAGTGTTAAAGACTAACTAAGAGCTGCTGTTTTCTTTTCAAGGCATCAAAATATTGCCAGATTTAATATTTTTTACAGCCCTGTTCTGAACACCATTGCTATGTGACCAAACAAAGACCTGGCCAAAGGCAGCTAAAATTTATCCTTTATAAGAGCTGTTTTCCAAAGCAAAAAACAAACCCAGTCTGTCAAAATGGTCCTGTTCAGCACTTTGCTCTCCTCAGGGTGCTTGGCTTGCTGGAAGCCTTTTTCCTGCCTGATAAACGCTGAATGGTTTCACCTACTACAAAGGCCATGGGACTGGTCAAGGCTTGATTCTTCAGGATCTACCTGTGCAGCTCTGTACAGCTGTGAACCTGACAGGTGAGAGTGGTGTGCCCTAACAAGGCCTAAGAGACACTGAATTTGCAGCATAGGAGTGGTACGGCAGCCACCCGGAGCCACCCTACCATACTCATTGTTTCAACCTCCCTCTGAGACACCACTGTGTCAAATGTTGCTTAGACACAGCTTCAATGAGCTACCAACAGTGAAAACGACATTTTCTCTCCTGTTTAGCAGAGCTGTTGTCAAAAATTAGGGTTACAGATTGGGTTAGATCTCTGAAGAACATCCGTACATGAAACAACAAAGTAAATATGCCACCAGGCAGTGGCCAGCTCTCTTCTACCTGAAATGTACCACCAGGCATTCCAGTCATTATTTTTACTGGCTTTGGGCATCAAAATGCTGACACAAATCACATTTTCCTATTTTCTGACATAATTCTTTTAAATTACTACATAAACAGGAGAACTGACTTAGGAGAGACAGCCAAGCTTTATTTCTTGAAAAAGTTGGCAGTCTGAAAAACAGCAGTTGGGGGAGGGTGAGCTCTTTGCTTTTCAGCATTTGCTGTTACTCACAATAGTGGTAAATAAAAATCAGACAGATGCATAATTTATACTGATGGTGCCCATTTGAAAAGTATCCCTTAAAGCTTTGTAATGAGTCTACAACCTGATAATAAAATTGGAAATCAACTTCATTTACTTACAGAGAACAAGCTACTTCATGAAAATAACTTTGTGCTTGTCCTCCTTTATCTGGTATAGCCATTCTCTAAAATCCCTCTGTTTCCTCTTCAATAACAAAGTAATCATATCAAAACCACAACTTGGTTGCTACTAATAACACTTTTCTGAATACAAAGCCTATCTATCCATGGAGGGAATGCATAATTCAAAAATCCCAGCTGCATTATTTCATATTTGGCAATCCTGCACAGATTTCCATGTCATGATTTAGCTACCAAGTCTCCAAAGCTTGTCCATTCAAGTTGTAGCATCTTCTCTTCCACCAGGAGACCACAAGTGTGTTTTAAAGGAAAATTGTGATGTATTTGAGGGGATGGAAAAGCGTAAAGCACCTCCAATTTCTGTTAGTCTTTTCATTCTTTCCTTAGTTAAGACTACTCTCAGAAAAACCCTAAACACACAATAAGGTCATCTCTTAAGATTTCATCCTCAATTTCAAAAATGGACTGACAATTAAAACCATTTGTGAGAGTCATGAATGAGCTAGTTGCTTTTTTAGACGGAAAGATTCTCTTTTCACAACATTGCCATATTTATTTTTGGCCCCTTGGCTGATGAGATGACCTCCCTTTAGAATCTGCAAATATAAATAGAATTGACATTTTAATGATCAGTTTTCACAAGCTTTTATAATCCAGCATCTCAAGCATCAATATTGTTTCAAGTCTGGATGCACAGGGCAGTTTTACAGCTGCCCTGTCTCTGTAATGTGCAGGCACCCAGTGAAGTTGCCTGATTAGGTGAAGTGTCCGAGAGAAATTACTGAGGTGTTATCTCTCTGAAATGCCATAAGGTGGCAGTGGATTGGAAAATTGGTACATCTTCTAGGTAGAACAAAGTTCTAAGGAGTTCAGGAGTAGAGTAGAGGAGGGGTTTTGTTTGCTTCTTTAGGGGTTTTCATTTGTCTGTTTGCATTTCATATATCAGCAATAAACTTCAATCATTCTAATCACTGAATAGACCTGCTCCAACAGGAGCCAGTAGACATGTTCCTGCACAAGAACTCCTGCCTTTTTCTTTCTCCATTGATTCCTTTTCAAGTGATCAGCAGGAATATTTTCTGTTTGCTTACCCTGCAGCTCTTGCTGGGTCATTCCACCAGAAGGCATGATGAGAGGCCTACCTCTTGCTAGTCTGATAAGGATGCAATCATTCAAGGCTATTTTGCTATGCTAGAGAACCTAAATTTTATTAATGGATCTACCGGCTTTGTATCTAACTCCTTAATATTGCCAAGGCAATTATCCAGAGAATAAATTAGTGAGATACTGTAATGGCTTCTCTCTTGTTTGATTGGCATGGGCAAACTCAATAGTTATGGTTGAACTTTAACTTTGCTTTTTTTTTCCAGTGGAAAATCAGAGATTGTAACAGTAACATATTTACCGATTGCCCAGGCATTAGTGATTAAACAATAAATCCTGAAAAATGGTTTTGATTTTTGTCCCAGAACAAAACCCAAAGGAATCTATGTTTAGAACATACCAGTTGCATTCATGTTTCTGAGCAGGACACAAGTTTTGAATCCTGAGAACTCACTATTTTGCAATCACTTCCTGTCACAAAATAAGTCATCACCAACAATTGCCTCAGAAGACAGCTGATGTTCTGCTGATCTGGGTGTGTCTGGGTGCTCCTAAGTCCTTGCAAGACTACAGGTAAGTTTGCCAGAACCAATAAAGCCAAGTGGTCCAAACAGTTCAATGACAAAGAAGTTACAGACAACTTCTGTATTCCAAACTTGTAGTGCAGGTGAATGAGCAGAGACACCAAATACAGGTTCATGGCAATATTGCAATATGTGGAAAATGTCAGTGACTCAGTATGCAGGCAGGTACATCCTTCTGTGGAATTAAGTTCTCCCTGCTGATGTTCTGCACAGGTTTAAGGTGGTTTTATCCACTGGCTCTTGACAAAAGCATCAGGTTTCCCATCATGCCAGGAGAGTATCTGGTCCAGTTGGACAGTTGCCTTTGCCCCAGAATTTGTCTTCTTAGATAACCATGGAAAACAACAGTGTCCAGAGCCAGAGAAGCTCTGTCAGTTGAATGAGCTTTTTATAAATCTTCCAGATTCTTGCTTCATCTATGGCCATTTACTCAGGAATCTGAAAGGGTTCAAATCTAGAAAAAATGTTGGTCTCTTCTGTGTGTATCATTTCACTCACATTAGATTCAGTCAAGCAGCCCAAGACTGACACCCCTTGGCTCTCTGTACTACAGTTTTGATGGAAGACCCCGTTAATGTCCCATGCTTGCAATTTCCCTGTTTCCGCAATCAGCTTCCAAACTGGCTGTTGAGGAGACTTTCAAGGTAAAGAGAGTTAAAGCCAGCCTTATTCCTGAGGCCCTCAGGAATTTTGAGAATATCTTGGAGGGATAGACAGCCTTAACTACAGCCCCAGTATTAGGCCTACTCTTAAGCTGGATCTTGGTAGATGTATGGAAGAGACATGTGCAGGGGAGAAAAGCCAGGTTGGCTTTCCAAGTCATCACAGTGACCTAGGAGTTATACAGGGAGCCAGGCACAACAGCAAACAAAGGAGATTTTTCTCTGCTTCCTCCTTCAGACAGCTGGGGAATGTTGCACCAGGGTGATGAGGTTTATTGTGCCTTCTCACAAACACAGGAAGATTCGCTAGTTCCTATTGAAATAGTTTTTGGAAAGAAAGCATTGCACATGGTGCAAGGTGCCAACAGGAGAAAAGGCTCTTCAGAATAGATGTTTGCATCAGAGAAGCAAAGGAAGCAGCAATAGGCCTGGTAAAGCCTGCCTGGGATGCTGTCCTTGCTGGGAGGGCTCTCTGCAGAACAAAATTACCATCCTTAACTGCAGTGAAATGTTCATCCAGCTCTTGCTGTTGCAGCTGTTTTTACCCTAGCTGAAAATAACTGCATGGGTACAGGTCTCCCCAGGACAGCCAGCTCTGTGAGGGAGAAAGAGGACAGTAGTGCTTGGTGGGTTAGAGCCATTCTTGATATCCACAAGGCAAAACGTGCTATAGTATATCTGCAGAGGGAAATGATTGCAGTAGACAACACATAGCAAAATGGTTGAATAGAACTACGAAAGCTCGGTCATACATCAGCTACAGCAATGACCTTGCGCTGTTGTATGTCTTGCCTATGAACTGGGGTCTCTAGTTTGCAGCCCTGAATTAGAAGTGGTGATTCTCTTCAGAACCTGGGAGAAACTGCACAGCTAATTATGAAGTGGACAAAAATGTAACAGTATTTTCATTTAGTTCATTGAGTTTTTGCCAAGCACTCTAATTGATTTAATGATCCCTGTCCCCGGCTGCTCACTAATCACCATCACACACTACTTCCTTCATCTTTGGCTGGCAAATGGTTCCTAATTGTTGCTGCATCTTGCATTGTACATCTGGTGTTGACAGCTGTCCTTGCCCTGAGATGGAGAGACAGCTGTTTTTAAATGGAGAGCTCTCTCTCAAATCTATAAAACATCTGGGAAAATACGGCACTGAAACTGAGCTATTAAATATAAAAATCTAGCAAATATGTGGACAGGTTAGAGGGTCTGCAAACACAAAACTTAAAAGTAGGCACAGGAATCAGAACAGTGAAGACTCTCTGCTGTGTCTTTAAAACACAAATCCTGGGACTCTTTCCCCTAATTCCCTGTAGACTGCTTGACATCATAAAATCTTTTACACTCTGCACACCTCCTAATTTGATCAGACTAACAACCCATGTTGCTTTTGCTTCAGCCTATTAGACATAATTCAAAAGCCTTTCTAAAAGGCAGGATTCAGGATCGGGCAGCAAGATCTAACTGGCTGGAAACAAGAATCCAGTAGCATGAAAGCACCAAAAAGCCCTAGAAATCACTGGAAACAATTGCATTCCTTAAAAAAAAAGAAAGCACAACCAATCTTTTCCAGAATCTCCTTTCCTCCTGAACATTTTGTGACTGTGATTGTTACGAGGAGCCTATTTTTTTTCCTCTCCCTGTTTATTTTGTGTCTTTAGCAGCACTGAGCGTACAGTCCATTGTTTTGCTAATGGTCAGCAAAGCTTATCTCCTGATCGAGCCGCTATTGCTCACATGCTGTTCTGCAAGACTTGGATGAGCACTCCTCTCAGACCCTGCAGAGGCTGCAAGCCAGCAGCGTGAGCAAGGCTGAACTCAACAGGCAACAATAAGCAGGCATGTAAGGACACAGAAAGGAAATGGGTGAGCTTAAACCAGGTTAGCGTGATTGGAGCAGGAGACACAACAAATGACCCCTAAGAAAAGAGTCGGCAAGCAGAAAAGGCCTGGCAGAATTAACAACGCCTTTTTATAAAGGAGTCATTTCAGGACATCTGACTTAAGGGAAGTGCCACATTTATGTATTTTTAATTGGACTGGATTTAAGCCATATCAAGCTGATGATTCCATTCTGAGTTCAAAAGGATATTCTCTTTGCCTCATAGCACGGGAACAAGGGCACAATGCAATTAACAGGAAAGGCGGCACTTTCAAAAGCAGTAGAAGGGAGTATTTTTAAATTAAGCAGTTATTGTATATTTCAGGCACTTAAAGTAGAAATTTGTTCTAGTCACTGGAAGGTGAGACACTTCTCCGGGAGATGATTCTAATTCTCAAGTGTGGTGGCTTTTAAACTGCTCCTAAAGGAACCTGTCTCTTCTTTTTACCCATGGACGGGCTCTAGAAAGACCTGCCTGGTAAGTGGCCTCTGGAGTAAGAAGCCTCCCACGAGGTGACAGTAAGACAGTTACATTTCTAACTGGACTCTGAAAGTCACTGATGCAGGCAAGAACCTGGATAACACTGATCTCTTTTTTTGGTAAAGAATGCTGTTTGGGAACATGCTGTTTGAATTCAAATCACTCTCTAAGTGTGGATGTATAGGAACATTTATAAAATGCTTTGAAGCGTCTTGCTCTGGCCACAATAAGGATCAAGATCTTGAACTAGAAACCAAGGCTTGAGCTGTTTAATCATCTTAAAGCTCAGCAGTGGTTGGTCCTGACAAGAAGAAAATCAAGCAATGGTGTCAGGAGGCACGTGTGGATGAGCAAAGACGTCATGACTAAACTATGACACAAAAATGAAATGCACAAAAGGTGGAAGCAGAGGTAGGTAGCCCAGGAGGAAGCCTTACTAATGACAGTGTCCTTCAGCAATCCCAAGCCCCTGAGCAAGGGGGCCAAAAGTGCTGAGGAAATGTAATTGAAAGGCCACTCTGCAATTGAAAGATCACACTGATCAAGAGAGGTTCCTGAGGCCTGGAAGAAAACCAAAGCCATTGCTATCTTCATCAAGGACAAGAAGGAGCATCTGAGAAATTAGAGTCTTGTCAGCCTCACCTCAATTCCCTGAAAAGACAATGGAGAAAGCAATCATGGGAACCATTTCCATACACATGAAGAACAAGGAGGTGATCAAATGAGGTCAGCATGGGTTTACAAAGGGGAAGTCAGACCTAACCAACCTGACAGCCTTCCACAGCACAATGAGCAGTCTTGGTGAACAAGAGAAGAGCAGTGATGTTGTCTGCATTGACTTTAGTAAAGCTTTTGACAGTGTCTCCCATAACATCCCCATAGACAAAGTATGAGTAACCTAAGTGGGCAGTGAGGTGGATCAAAAAATGACCCAGAATGTCATGGGTCAGTGGCACAAAGTCCAGCTAGAGGCCGGTCATTTGAGGTCTGTCTATTCTGTTACCAAGTCTCATACTGTTTGACATCATTATTAATGAGCTGGATGATGTGAAAGAGTACATCTTTGGCAAATTTACATATTACACAAAGCTGAGAGGAGCTGACACACCAAATTTGCTGCCATCCAGAGCAACCTGGACAGGCTGGGCAATTTATCAGAGAGGAATCACATGAAGATCAACAAAGAGAAATGCAAAGTCCTGCACCTGGGGAAGAATAACCCCATGCACGTGAGTGGGTGCTGGTGTCTTAGGTTGCAATGCAAGATGCAACCAAAAGTATGTATTCTATTACCATCTGTTAAAACCAGGTGGGGCAGTGTTCTTCATCTCTTCCACAACCCATCCTCCCTCCAGGGGGACATCTTCTGTTAATGAGCCACTGAGTCTCATGGCATGGCTGATAAAATTCCATCATCCCATGTGTGGGATGAGTGGCTCATCCCAGGGCGAGGAGACAAGCATTCCTACCTGGATATAATCAGAGACTGGGAACACCACAGGCAGCCTTTCTCCACTGGATTCCCAGAGGAAGACTGGACCCATTCACATCACCACCACGGGATCTTCAGAGGAAAACTA